TTGCATTCACGCAATATTGTAAGGAACGTAATATACCACCAGAGGGGTTGATTATTCAGAAAATTTATGAATGTGCCGAGATGGACAAACTCACTTTAGAATTAAAAGAAAAAGATGATTCGGAATTTTATGCGGTTTGGGAAAATTGGTATATTTGGATAGACAATAGAAACAAAAATTGGAAATATACATAAGGTTATTATGCAAATTAGGTTATTGTGGGTTAGATTGAATGTACAGTGTATATATTGTATAGAATGTAGATCCATAGTATATAAAAATGACATAGTCTGCTGAATATGTACTGTACAAAGGAAAATGTTAATAAAATTATTTTTAAAAAAAAGGTAGCTCAAGGAGCTGCCTAACATCAGTGTTTCTACACAGCAACTGCAGGTATCAATGTTCTTAGCATTCATATTTTTTTTAAAAAAACCTTCATTTTAAAAAAATAAATTGGAAGTTGGAATGCTACTGTCATTTTTTCCCCAATAATGCCGTTGGGCCCTACATATGACATAGACATGATAATTGAACCCCAATATTTTTAACTGTTTGATCACCCACTCAGAAAAAAAAAGACAAATGAAAGGTAAGGTCTGTGAAGGAACCCCCTAAGGACTTATTTTGAAGAGGCATATACTCAAGTGTATATTGTTTATAAATGTGCTTTACTAAATATTTTTCTGGGAAGGAAAATGAATGGATGGGGGGGATTTCACTGAGCATCATCACATTTACTTTCTGGCCAAGTCATTTTCTTTGCCTTTCAAAAAATGGGTTTAGTGCCTGGTCACTAGACAGTCATGTCAAATCAGCTTTGGAATTGAATTTTTTCTGCTGAGAAAATGGGAGTCTGTATAAATAAACAATTTCATACACAGGCAAGCATGCCCTATAGCCATGGTTGCAAACCTATGGTATGCATGCCACAGGCAGCACACAGAGCTGTCCCTGTGGGCACATGCGCCATCGCCCCAGAGGGATGTGGAGCCGGGCAGCTCCTCTCGCCCTTTCCACGTGCGCCTGCACTCTTGCTCTCTTTCTCTCTGCACTGGGAGTCAGGGAGCAGCTGCAAGAGCTGGGTGGATCTTGGCTGGATGGTGGAGGCAGGCCTTTTTTTCTCATACAACACAGGCACCTTTTTTTGAACGGAAGCTGCCAGCACGAGTCAAGGTATGCCTGCAGAGCGATTTTGCAGACTGCCAGCAGCCCGATCCAGGCTCTGGAGGCCTTTTCGAAGCCTCCAGAGCTGGGATCCATGGCCACGGAGCGATTTTGCAGCCCTCCAGCAGCCCGATCCGGGCTCCAGAGGCCTTTTCGAAGCAGCAACGATGGCAGGGCGATCCGTGCAGGGAGTAGGGGGGAAACGGCGAAGGCAGGGCTATCCGTGCGGGGGTGGAGTGGGAAACAGTGGTGACAGCAGGGCGATCCATGCGGCTGGTGGGGAGGGAAACCTGCCCCACTTGTTCCATGGCCGCTTTCGGCTGAGCCACATTGCAGCAGCATTGGGCACAATACGCGAGGCAGCAAACAGCTGCATCACATCGAAACCGGCCATTTGCCCACTCTTGCTATCTAATACTCAGGGCTTTTTTTCAGCCGGAACGCGGCGGAACCGCGTTCCGGCACCTTTTTCCGGGCCGGCCGCACCGGAAATAGCCCCTCCCACACCGGAAATAGCCCCTCCCAAATTTTACTTGCATTCCTGTTCTCTAAAGGGGCGGTCCTAGGGTTTGATGAGGGCGTGGCCAGGTTTGAGTTCCGCCACCTTTTCTCCGAGAAAAAAAGCCCTGCTAATACTTTACTTTCTTAATTGTCACATTTTTACTAACAGTCCTTATTCTTATTTGTTCTGGACTCCTGCCAAACCTTCCCCAATATTTGGCTGTGGCTCAGCTCCAACAAGATTAGAAGGAAGTTCCAGAAGAGATGACCTCCTTATGTCCAGAGCTATACAGAACACTACATATCTATGATAGTTTCTTCAGTTGTGTGATGTTAATGTGTCTATTCCTAGTTTAAACTAGTACTTATGACCAGTTTGAGAGAAGAGGTTCTTCCTGCTGGCTGGAAAAAAAAATAGCAAGTGTGTACGTGATTCTGCAGAAGCCAACCATATATCCTCATAAAACTAGAGCAATACTGACATCCCTTAAGAGAAAAAATTGGCATTCCCCCAGAGATTATATGGGTAGTATATTTTTAATGAACTGACAGGGATTCTTAGGATTTGTCTTATTTGTAAAGTATAGTTTTATAGTTTGTTCTAATTATTGTTTTGTAAAGTTTCTCATGGTTCTGTAAACTTAACAGAGTTTATAATGGTAACGAAGTGCTGGAAAGACCATTCTCCTGAATATTTCCCTACTACTACTACTACTTATTCATGTAAAGATGTATTTGCTTTAGAAATCTTATCAAAAGAGAAGAGAGAAATGCTCATGCTGATATGCAGAATTCTCTCTTTTAGTTACAGGAAAACCAAGATTTGTGTGACTCTCTTGCCTGTCATCATGCAATCCTTTCTCCCATCAACTTCAGCCTTCTTGGCTTGAATCAATACTCAAAAGAAGATATCATGAGGAAAATCTTTCTGCTAGGCTTTTTGAGTAAAACAGAATTATTGTTAAAAACATTTCTTTTTCTTGAAGAAAGAGTCAGAAAGATTCTTCATTCAATTTCCTCTGCCCACAAATTTGATGAAGTTTTATCAAAAGTCCCAGATATTTTAAATTTTGATACAAACCTGGGGAAGTGCTACACAAGCAGGCAGCTAATTCCAGATCTAGAGAGGTTTATTAAATTTCTCATCTATGTGACTGAGTGGTTTACAACAACATAGTGAAACAATATAAACACATTACCAAAGAGTATTGTTAAAAATAGAATCTGGAAACAGGGTATGGAAAATAATAACCAAAATGGTCCCTATGATGGTAGGAGGACATGGGCTGTGACTCCTAAGCTGGGAGAGTGGCTCAATAGATCTCAGAAACACCAGAGCTCTCTGTCCAGAAGTGCTAGGAAAAGTTAAGATATCATACAGAACCCTCCCAAATCCAACTCCCAGGCCTCTAGTAGAGGACTCAAAATTGAGAAAGACATATCACCTATAGAGATGAGGAATAGTTTTTAAAAAAATCCTATGAAACTATCTTAATTTATATTTAATAAAATCTCTTTGGTGTTCATCTTAGTTTGGCCCTATTCTCTTCAAATCCCAGAACGTATTGGCTATTAGCTGGCCATGGTGAAACCCTCACATTCTCTTTAGATATTAGGGTCTATTTTTTTTAGCAGTCAAACTTTTTTCTGGTAGTCAATTATTTTCTGAACTTACCTTAAAATCTTTCTTCTATATTACTGGCTCATGGGATTTCCCCCCCAACTTTCATTCAATATAATTCAATTCAAAGCATCACTTTGCAAGTGTTAATGAATAAATTCCATTAGCAATATAGACACCGCTAGAATTTTGTTTAGTCTTCTATTTTAATATGATTATCTAGCTCATTCTTCTATTTTAATATGATTATTCAGCAGCTGTGATGATAACACTATGAATATAAAAATAGCCATTGTACAATAGAGTTTTGAGCACTACAGCAAGGAATTTATCAAACATTTACTTCTGATTAACTGGCCCATTGTTTTTTGTTTTGCTTTCAAGTGTTAACTCTAATTCATTACTTGCATGAAGTATTCATAAATAGTAATGATTTGCAATGTTTCAAATCCAAATAAGTATTCAAGTTCAGCTGTGGGATATAAATTGATCATGCTGAATTTAATAATAAAAGGCTGTTACCTTTGGAATGCCATATTTCAGCTTATGGGCCTGTTTCTGAAGTCCTTCAAATGGCTTGAGAAGTGGCTCAATTAATAGAAAAGTGATATCTATTACACATGCATCTGGGCTTATTTTTCAGTCTTCTCCTTTCATTCATTTTTTTGTCCCAATCTTTTGGACATCTTCAAAAGAAGTATTCTGTGACACAAGAGAAACTGCCTAGACACATTAAAGACAATCATAAAAATGTGGGAAAGTGCTTTGCACATGAGTCAAATACAAATATTGTTTTTGAAAAAATATTGAGTTCTGATTCCTTTTGGTGCAGTAGAATAAGGTAATAATATAGTCTCAATTTTTTACTGTTGCATTATAATATATATTAATCATAACACAAACCTATTTAATCACAAAATAAAGTTTCATGTTTCAATCACAAAGTCCAGAAGTGGTTTCCAAGTAGAAACAAAACTAATTGTATTCTTTTCTTTTAATTGAAGCAGTCAATTTAGCCACCTCTGCTAAATTCGTCAACTTTTGCAGCCATACGTCCATTGTGGGAATCAAAGTATCCTGCCATTTTTGTGCATAGAGTGTTCTTGATGCTGTTAGCATATATAATATCAAAGTTTTAAATTTTCTGCATTATTTTTTTATATTGCATCGCTATTGGATACAGCTTCCCTGTAATTATTATTAAAATAATTTAATAGTATTATTATTTTGGTGCACTAAGGTGGAGAGGATGGGAAAAGGAGGAGAAATCCAATTAAAGCGACAAGTTAAAAACTAAACTTAAAATACATTTAAAATATCAGCTGAAACATTTTTGTTCTGTGCAATTTAACATCCAACTTTAGAATTACAATTCTAAAGAGGAATTGAGGGATGGCTGGTTTTATTTCCTATGATCTGAGAAACATTCCCTGTATGTTCTAAGAATTATTCATTGCAAACATCAATGACTGATACTCAGTTCAGTAAATGTCCAATGATCAAATAATTGCCCCAAACTAACTGATATCCTGCTTTAATGTATTATATTGTGGGTCAGCCAAGGAACTGTTTTATTCATATCTATATCTATAAAAGCATCATTCCCATTATACACATTTAAAAGCAAAATCTTATCCCTTTGCACACAAAGCAATTAGCAATCAAGTCCTGACTTTTGAAAAGGCATCAGCTGCAACATTGTACAGTAAATAAAGTTTTATTTTCTTCCAGCTCTGCAAGATTAGTGTTTCCAACAATCAAAGATCAACTTATAATACAAGTAAATAGTATCTATTTACAAATTATAGAAGTGTAAATTTATTTCTCACAAAATATAGTACAAAAGCTATATATTAATAAGTGAAGACTTGCAATCTGGATTCATTATAAGCAAAAGCTTAAAAATAGAGGTTTTTAATGAACAATAGAAGGAAAATAGTTAGCCAAATCCCTATTCAGAATGTATTGCAAAATTATTTCAGACAATATGTAATTATATGAAACAAAATCCACAATACAATAAATAGAATCATTCATTTTTGTGACAGCTCTTTTGAAGAAAAAAACTTCGATTCCTTAAACTGAAAATTGTATCCAAGTGAAGCACACAGCAATTGATGAATAATCTTTCTTAAAGGCAAAAAGTTAACCATATTCATAGTCCCAATTGTCAATCTTTCCTTCCTTGCTGTATTCCTTTCAAAGCTATTCTCCATACTTCAAAGAGCTAATTTGAGAATATGATCTGATTTCCAAGTTGTGTAATCCGTTACAAAGTGCATACGTTGCAAGTTCTTCAACATAAGGATCAAAACCAGAGCTAGAAAAGAATTGGAGAGAAAAGGGGGAAGGGGGAAGAGACAGATAAGAAATGTTATAAATTGTACGAATGCATAGCATGCAAATATTTGTAAATATACTGCTAACTAATTATAAGACAAATACAGACAAATAATCATCAGTGCCACTAATATGTCGGCAAACAATTATTTTTCAGAGTGGCAGTGGGAGTTAAGGGAGACAGCATATGAAAGGAAAAGTCACAATAAAACAGTGAAAAGGCAGCCAGACATCTTGATTTGGCAACACACAACACATTACAAGGGAGGGAGGTGTCTATTACCAGGGATGTAAGTGACATGCAGCCTATAACTGACTGTATTTTCTTTTTGTACTTTATGTCCTTCTGAAGTTTAATATGAATTGCGGCATTTGCTTTAATAACTTTTGTGTGTGCAAATGTGACAGTGCTGGTATCGGCTTCTAGTCAGTGTTGATTCTTGACAGTGTGGACAAGTTCCTGCAGTTTGTGTCCTTCATAGAGCTGAGAGAAAATGACTGGCAAGTTACCCAGTTGGCTTTATATCTAGGGCAGGACTATTACTCAAGTCTCCAAGTTTTAATCTGGTGCCTTAATCATTACAGCAAACTGGATCTCTGTATTAGCTTAAAGTTATTAATAATTTTAAAATAATAGCTTTCATGTTATAAAATAATTCCATGTATTTTTCCTACAAGTATAATCTGTTATCACTGCCCTTCTGCTTTTTGAATTGCGACTGTAAATTGCAATGGCTTCTACCGTGTTCCACCGAAAATACAACCTACCAAGAAAATAAGACCCAGATTAATTTTTGAGGTTGGGCCTAATATAAGCCCTACCTCAAAAAGTAAGCCCTACTTAAGACTCCACCCACTCTGTCCCACCGTAGGTTTTTTGGCAAACCAGATCACATACCTCTCCCCCCCACCACCTGCTGCTAGTGCCGCCGCTGCGAGGTGGCCTGAATGTTAAGAGAGCTGGAGCCTGAGGCAAGCAGAGGCTGCCTCCTTTCTATCCCTGCCCTGCACTGGGGAATCCAGCAGGCAGATGAGGGTGGGGACTGGCCGGGGCCTCAACCAGCAGCTTCTCTCTTTCACCCTCACCCTGAAGCAGCCTCTGGAGGTGGCCTGCACTGCCCTGTGGGCTTTGCCGGCTTTCTCTTCCTCTGCAGAAGGGCGGGAAAGAAAGCTGGGCATCCTGAGACATCCCACTCTGGGAGGCGACTCAGGTTTCCCTCGGTGAGGGAGGAAGCCTTTGGAAACTGCCTTTTCATTTACATTCATCATCAATATAATCCAGGTATGTCAAACTGCCAGCCCATGGGCCAGACATATCATGCAGAAGCCGCGCCCACCCCATTGCCGGCAATGGCAAAACAGTCCCGATATGTCACGTGCGATGTCATGTGACGTCGCGAGTTTGACATGTCTGTGGTAATCGATCCCTTTATTTTTCCAAAAAATGATTTGTATTTATCATGATTAGCTTCCTTGATCGCCAACAGGAAAGTGTGGTGTGAATTCTGTGCATGAGCTGGGGAAATACAGACACACGTACTCTCAAAGCTCACGCCGCTTGCTCACTCGGGGTGCACCACTGCTTTATGTGAGCGTTCAACTTTGTGGCTCAGCTAAACTCTTCAACTGCAGCAGACCACAGTTCCCATCAGCTTCTGGAAGCCTGGGCAATGGAAACCTTAGGCCAATCTCCTTGCAGCTGAAGCAATCTGGCTCGCCCGGGGTCAGGTTGGCCATTGCGAGAAGCGTCGCCTATCCCCTTTCTCCAGCTCCGCCGCACATGTGGAACGAGCCTCCCATGATGGCTAACCTGACCCTGGGTGAGCTTACAGGAAGAGGCTACGCATTGCAGGAGGACAACTGCAAAGGGCATGTGCAGATCCCTGCAGCTCCTGGAGGCTCTGAGTGCTGGTTTTGGTGCCACATCTGTGTGTGCGTCTGCCTCACTGTTTTAGGCAGCACTTCAGATCAGCTGCAGCGTGCCATGGAGAGGATGGCTGAGGTTTGGGGGATGGTCTATTCCCATTCGTAGCGTGGCCACCTTCCAATCGCCACGACGCTATTCGGGAGGGCAGTGTCAGCTTCCAATGCAGTGGCGAGAAAGGCGGAAGGCAATCTCCCCCACCAGATCAGCCTGGCCCGGGGGGGGGGGAAATGAGTGGCCCCAAAAACAGCGCTCGGAGCCTCCAAGAGCTGCAGGGATCTATGTGCGCCCTTTGCAGTCATCCTGCTGCAACGCAACAGCCTCTTCCAGGGTCAGGTTGGCTGCCGCAGGAGGCTTATCCCGCATGTGCAACAGAGCTGGAGGATGGGGATGGGCCATGCCTCTGGCGATGGCCAACCTGACCCCGGGCAAGCCGTCTTGCTTCAGCTGCAAGGAGTCTGGCCTAAGGTTTCCATCGCCCAGGCTTCCCGAAGCTGATGGGAACTGCAGCCTGCCGCAGCTTAAGAGTTTAGCTAAGCCACAAAGTTGAACGCTCACATAAAGCAGTGGTGCGCCCCAAGTGAGGAAGTGGTGTGTCAAAGTGTGTGTGTCTGTATTTCCCCGGCTCATGCACAAAATTCACACCGCGCCTTCCCATTGGCAATCAAGGAGGCTAATCGTGGTAAATACAAAACTTTTTTTTTAAAAAAAAAATAAAGGAACAGATTACAATATTGATGATGAATGTAAATGAAAAGGCAGTTTCCAAAGCCTTCCTCCCCCACAGAGGGAAACCTGAGTCACCTAATGGGGTGGGACTCCAGCCGGGTTGGGCCTTGTGGTAAAAAAAATAAGACATCCTCCAAAAATAAGCCCTAATGGATCTTTTGGACCAAAAATAAATATAAGACCCGGGCTTATTTTCGGGAAACACGGTAACTAATTAGTGCAATTTTCATTTTTAGAGCATGCTTTCTTTTGATCTTATGCTGCAGGTATGTACAAATTCCACTGGTATAAAGGAGTTAAAGTTCGTTAGGAAAGTTATTTTAGAAAACAAAAATAGTAAGAATGAAGCATGATCACTAAGGCATGAAGAAATTACTACTGTTTTAGTGAAAGAAAAGGAAAAACAAATATTATGTAACACTCACCTACGTACTAACTAAAGCACTGATTGATGATTTATTCAGAAGATACCACTGGAGGTGAAGTGAACTATAAAGCCAGAAGAACAGCTTATTGGGTTAGTGTGTTAATTGAAGCAGATGTGACTACAGAAAGAGCATATTTATTTCTAGCTATGGCTATTGGTCAAGACAAATACTATTCTTGACATTAAGCGCATTATGTCTATGTTCTGCATAACATCCAGCATACTGCTGAAGTTAATTCCAGGCAATCAAAGATACTTAATTTCAAAGGCAGTTTTGTGTAACACACCAGTGTTGCATTTAAATCTGCACAAGCTTTCTAGATAAGAATACCTAACAGTGATTTTGATCTCTCTGTTGTGCTCAACAATTCTCTGATAAGTGTGCTAATATACAAATGAGATTATAAAATAAAAGTTTTGCTTTTTCCAAATAAATAATCCCATTTTGGATTATTTCAAAATGAAATGTTGCATCCAATATTGTACTCCTAACACATTCAAATGGAAAATTAAAAAGGATGAAGACCTAAATGGTCTACAAATGTTTGGAATAGAAAGGAAATCCCAGGATTATTAGTGTGGAAGTGGGAAAACGGGCTGTAGAATAGATTGGGAAGTTGAAACATATCTATGACGAAACAGTGGCAAATGACTTCTATACAATTGTCAGATAACTTAATAGCTATGTCCACAAATGTTTTAACGGTCAATGTTTTTAATGGTCTGTTTTGTATTCTTATTTTATGATTCTGTAAGCCACCCAGAGTTGCTTGATAGTGAGATAGGGAAATTTAATAAATAAATGAATAAATAAAGTTACAGAGAATACAACTCATAGAATACTTCCTCTTTTTTAAATAGACATCAATACGTCAAGATCTGATTTCACCTCTGCAGTTGACAAACACCTATTCTTTTGTGCAAAATAAGAAAACTACATCATTCATTTCAGTTTGTTCAGTATAAAAAAATAAGAAAATATGGAAGACATGGAATTAAATATAAATTGTTCATTTAGCACAAATTTTCATAAAATTTCTTTTTCCCAATTTTACTGGATTTCTTCACATTTAGGTTGTGTAGATTTCCTCAGACTCTCTGTTTAACTGTGAGACAGGCATATCAAATACATATATGCTGATATAGACATCACATATTTTTATCATCATATTCACTAAAAATATTATACGTTAATGTCTGTTATATTTGTCACTTCTATAACAGGAAAATTCCAATACTGTCCAAATTGTTAATGTACTCCTTTATTTATGACCTATTGCTTAATGACCATTTGAAGTTACAATAGACTTTTAAAAGCTACTTATGGCCTGTCCACGAAGTTACAACTGCATCTTTTTGCCTGTCAAGTGATAATATGTTGGTTGCTTGGCAACTTACTCACATGTATACCCAGTTGCAGCATTCTGTTGTCATATGACCATGATTTGCAACAATTTTTGCCTGTTTCTGGCATTTTTTTTCTTGTTTTCCAGCAAAAAAATCTCATTGGATATGCTGGATTCACTTAACAGCATCTGTTTTCTTAATAACTGTGGTGACTCACTTTACAACTGTTGCAAAAACTATCATAAAATCATGGTCAGTTACATAGTGTGGCTGCTTGTTGATAATAACTTAAGATCAAAATTCTGGGTTCGCTATGGTAGTAAATTGAGGACTACCTGTGCTCTAAATCCTCTTATCAATCCTTACCAATGTCCGAGCATTTTCTCGTTCTAAGATCTTCTGAGTTTGATCAGGAGGAAATTTCAGCACTGAAGTTATAACCTTTGCCATTGTCTAAAACGTAAACAAAGGAAATAGTGTTCAAACACCCAAGTCTATTTCTTTATGAAATGTTATACATTAGTCTTAGTAATACTAATGGAAGCATGGTAAAAAAAAAATAGAAGCATGTATTTGTTTCTTATTCCATGATAATTTGTAATCTAATTTTTGTGTTCACATGAATCAAAGGAATGATATTTACTTATTAAGACTAAACAATTCAAACTACACATTCCATACTGAAACTCAGTGAAAAGAATTGTTGGGGGTCAAGAAGACAGAATAATTTATAGACAATGCATCTTCTCTTCTACTAAATTAAAAAAATAGAAATTTAATCAATTAAAAGATGTTCAGCCTAAATTTATGCATATATTGTTCAAAATATTCCATTCCATAATCCTGGAATTACCTCTCAAATTAGTATAGGTTTTCAGCCACATTTTGCTGGATTATGTTCAGTAATATTGTCCTATAAATGTTCATATTTATAGTGGTATATGATCTGTTATTTTATTTGTTGTACTGATTCAGTATTGCCTGACAATATAAAATATGAAGGCCTTAGATTGTAGAAATCAAAGTAGGTTGTTTTGGAAGATTGTATCAAGATTAGAGATTCTAGTTTGCATAAATTAGTATAAACATGTTTGGGGTAAAACCCAGATTACAGTATACAGGTTAAAATATATGCAGACAAATTTGTTCAACACCTGATAAACAAAATCACTCAGATTCATTCCCAGTTGGAACCTGTCTGTGGTGCAGGGCCATGTGAGATGCTTGGGGAAAGATCTTGCCCAATTATCTGGGAACTATTTGATCCTGTTGATCTATTGAAGTAGACATGACCCTCAACATTGTCAGTGCAACCACCTGTCAATTAGATCCCTTTCCCGTTTTGGTTTGTAAAAGCTGCTAGGATGGTAACTGCCAGGTGCGCTCAGGAAGTGATAAATTCTTCACTGCAGGATGAGGCATTCCTGGAATCTTTTAAGGAGGTCCTCATTTGCCCCATCCTCCAAAAACCATTGCTTGATCCCACCTGCTTGAATAATTTTCATCCATTTTTCCATCTCCCCTTTATAGAGAAGGTGCTAGAAAATTGCTTGGCAGCTCTAGAGGGTCCTGGATGAAACGGATTATGTGAACCCTTCCAGTCAGGAGTTATGAGACAGAGGCAGCATTAGGTTCATTTGTTGATGCTGAAAGCAGGATAGAAATAGTGCAACTATCCTTGCCCACTTTGCCCTGTCAGCAGCCTTTGATATCATTGACCATGATATCCTTTTGGACCAGCTACAGAATCTGGGGCTAGGGAACGAGAGATCCACCCACGATTACTCCTTTGTAGCATGCTGCAGGGCTTCGTACTTTCTCCATTCTTTTTTAACAGAAGAGATGGACAGCAAGTAAATCAAATAAACAAATAAATATTGTCAAAGACAGCAGAGTTATAGCATGTGATATAAGCACATCTAAGGCTTTTTGTCTATTAAAAGTATTAGCCTTAAGTAATCAAAACCATGTTGGGTGAAGGAAAGTCTAAGAGTCCACTTAGTAATGAATCTGGCAAATAAAAAATTGTAATTTGGAATGTAAGGGAAAGGATATAAGAATAAAACAAGTATAGTGTTTTGGCACATTTCTTTAATTGAGTTCTCTTTATTTGATTTTAGGCCTTTGTGTAGAGAACAGATCATTGTTATATAGAAATATTAAAAATTCACAAACTTTTAAACTTAAGGTAATCTGATGTGGAGTGGACTTGATAAAATCAAGTGTGTTATTGAACATATAGGTCAAATGATGGATGACATGACTAAAGTAAATGACACAATGCATGATCTTTGTACATTTGTCAAATGCATGTTAACTTTCATCATAAAATGGTAATGGAAGGAACTATTGGAAATGAAGAACACTTACCAAGAAATAACTCAATTTAGAGAAATATAGCTGTCAAGATTTTTGAAATTAATACTAAAAGTCTACCAACTGTACACTTTTGCTTTACTTAGGAAGAATATAGTTTCTTGCTATTTTAATTGTTGATTCTTTTAACCATGAAAGCAAAGTTAGCATGGTCAATTCTACATGCAACAAACACACAATAGCTCTCCTTATACCCCACAAGTTATTCTCCAAATGGTGTCTTAGGAAAGAAAGCCCAGTATTCTTTCTCTTGTCCGTGTTAATCAGGAATGGCCATGCCAGTTTTAATCAGGGTCTAGGTGAAGAAATAGATTGGAAACACCCCACAGCATATGAATTCTATTAATATAGAGCTCCTGTGGCAAAGTACTCACTGGTCCAAGAAACCTATCCTGAATAAAAGTGTATTTCCTAAAACAAGTATGTACAGAAGCTTAAGTATGATGATAGGCTTTATACCTTTTTCTTTCTTCAATGGGCACATCTTTTGAAGCTATTCTTAAATGAGGGCAGTTTTACTTTAAACATAGTAATAAAAATATCCCTTGATTATTAGGATATGTTCTTCCTGGGGCTGCCCTTAAGCATTGATTCAAAGTTATGGCTACTATAACAATGAAGCCATGGTTTATAGCTTCCGTTCAAGGTATCTGCATAGAGGCTGGGGTGAGGAATGATCACACATATCTGATGACATTGCACAAATACAGTAACTTGTATACTTCTTACCTCATGCAAATGCTGTGGTTTATTTTGTATAAATAATTTACATATAAGTATGTAATTGTAGCATTTGTGTGATGTCACCTTCTATGTCAGTTTGATATCACTGTAGTTTCTTGCAAATGCCACTGCACTGAAACTACTGCCTCACTTGATGGAATTGCAATGACTACTAATTTCTACTAGGCCAGGTTTAAGATTCTGCTATCTTAACTGCTTAGTTTTACAGCTTTTATAAGTTTTATATAGTAATTAGAAGAAAAATAACAGCTCTCAAAAGAAATCAGCATGGCTGCATAAAGAACTCTCTGATAAATTGAAAGATAAAAAGGAAAAGTATAAAAAGTGGAAAGAGGGGCAGATAACTAAGGCAAAATATCAGCAAATAGCCTGAGCCTGCAAACATGAAGTGAGGAAAGCTAAGGCTCAAAATGAATTAAGGCTTGCGACCAAATAACAAAAAAACAAAAACCTTCTTTCAACATGTAAAAAACAAGAAAAAAGTGAAGAAAATGATTGGCCCATTAGTGGGAGAAAGTGGCAAAAAGATGACAAGCAACAGGGAAAAAGCAGAACTATTTAACTCATTTTTTGCATTTGTTTTTATTTATTTTATTTATTTTATTTTATTAAACTTATATGCCGCACACAAAGGGAAAAAACAGACCAACCTATCAAAACTAGTGCCATAAGAAACAGAATAGAAACACAAGATAGGCAAAAAAATGGTAGGTGAGCACCTATCCAGCCTAGACGAGTTCAAATCACCAGGATTACACTCCACGGTTCTTAAGGAACTGGCAGGTGTGATCTCAGAACCACTGAACTATGTTTTTCAAAGATCCTGGAGCACTGGGGAACTACCAGAAAACTGGAAAAGAGCTGATGTAGTTCCCATCTTCAAAAAAAGGGAAAAAATGGATCCAGGAAATTACAGACCTATCAGCCTGACCTCAATACCTGAGAAGATTCTGGAAAAAATAATCAAACAACGAATCAGCGAACACCTAGAGGCAAACAAGGTCATTATTAAAAGCCAACATGGGTTTGTCAAAAACAGATCATGCCAGACAAATCTTATTGCATTCTTTGACCAAGTGACAAAATTAGTGGATCAGAGGATGCTGTGGATATAATTTACTTGGACTTCAGTAAGGCATTCGATAAAGTAGACCACAATCTACTACTTGACAAGACAGAAAAATGTGGGTTAGACAGTATCACCAACAGATGGATTCGTAGCTGGCTGACCGACCGTACTCAGCATGTGGTCCTCAATGGAACTGAATCCACATGGAGGGAAGTGTGTAGTGGGGTGCCCCAGGGCTCTGTTCTAGGCCCAGTGCTCTTCAGCATCTTCATCAACGATTTAGACGAGGGGATAGATGGGGAACTCATCAAATTTGCAGACGACACCAAGCTGGCAGGAATAGCCAACACTCCAGAAGACAGGCTTAAGATACAGAAGGATCTGGACAGACTTGAACATTGGGCGCTATCCAACAAAATGAAATTCAATGGTGAAAAAAGTAAGGTTCTACATTTAGGCAAGAAAAACCAAATGTACAGGTATAGTATAGAGGATAACTTGCTCAATAGTAGTAACTGTGAGAGGGATCTCGGAGTCCTAGTGGACAATCACTTAAATATGAGCCAGCAGTGTGCTGCAGCTGCCAAAAATGCCAACACAGTGCTAGGCTGCATTAACAGAGGAATAGAATCAAGATCACGTGAAGTATTAATATCACTTTACAATGCCTTGGTAAGGCCACACTTGGAATACTGCATCCAGTTTTGGTCACCACGATGTAAAAAAGATGTTGAGATTCTAGAAAGAGTACAAAGAAGAGCAACAAAAATTATTAGGGGACTGGAGGCTAAAACATATAAGGAACAGTTGCTGGAATTAGGTATGTCTAGTTTAATGAAGAGAAGGACGAGGGGGGACATGACAGCAGTGTTCCAATATCTCAGAGGCTGCCACAAAGAAGAGGGAGTCAAGCTATTTTCCAAAGCGCCTGAAGACAGGACAAGAAGCAACAGATGGAAACTAATCAAGGAGAGAAGCAACCTAGAACTAAGGAGAAACTTCCTGACAATTAGAACAATTAATAAGTGGAACAACCTGCCTCCAGAAGCGGTGAACTCTCCAACACTGGAAGTTTTTAAGAAGAGACTGGACAGCCATTTGTCCAAAATGGTATAGGGTTTCCTGCCTGAGCAGGGGGTTGGATTAGATGACCTCCAAGGGACCTTCCAACTTTATTTTTATTATTTTTATTATTATTATGGATCATCGCAGAGTCAGCCAGATGTTCAGACTGGATTTGGCATTTTGTCTACCTATCGAGTCCTTACCAAGGACCTGGGATAGGCAGATGTGGATGTTTGATGGTATTACAGATATCATCGCAGGATGGAAGCAGTTCCTAGTAAGGCTGCCTTTTGCAATTGACTAATGGCGAATTTGTCAATGCCAATGGTGTTCAAGTGGTGCTCCAGTTGTTTTGGGATTGCACCCAAGGCGCCTATTACTATTGGTACTACCCTTGCTTACTTTTGCCACAGTCCTTCTATATCTATTTGTAGGTCATTGTATTTTGTGATCTTCTCCAGTTCTTTCTTGTCTATTCTGCTGTTTCCAGGCACTGCCACGTCCACTATCCAGACTTTTTTTAGTAGTAGTAGTAGTAGTAGTAGTAGTAGTAGTAGTAGTAGTAGTATATAATGTTGTAGACTGCTTAAATAAATAATTTTGTCAAAAGCTGCCAGAAACCATTGGGTAGACCAGACATGTCAAACACAAGGCCAGGGGGCCGGATGCGGCCCGCAAAGTGGTTTCATGTGGCCCGCGAAGCCATCCTAGAAACAGTGAGGGAACGGCCCTGCTGCCTTGGCCCTGGCCCAGGCCAGCCGGGAGCCAATGTACAATTTTGTGATGGCCATCTATGCTGAAACGCATTCAGTCTTAGCTCCACAAGGCCATCTAGAAACAACGAGGAACCAGCCTTTGCTGTGTTGGCCCCACCCTCTGGGTGCATGCTGGGGAGGTGTCACCCTTTGTGAGGAATGAAGAAATGGACCATGCCTTGGTGCTTGCCCCGGTCCCACCCCCTTCTGCCAGAGACCTTCAGATCTGTCCCACTCCTGCCCAGGCCTCCACAGGCACCCTTGACGCAAACAATGTAGTGCTGGCCATGCCCACCCAGTAGGCCATGCCCACTCCATCCACGCCCACCCAGTAGGCCGCACACATCCTGGCCACACCCACCCGGCCCCCCGAGGGCAACCACAATGCTGATGCGGCCCTCAATGAAATTGAGTTTGACACCCCTAGGGTAGACCATTTATCTCCTTCCTAAGGCTTGTTTGAAAGTTCAATCTGCCCATCATTCTTCCTCTGTTCAAGTATGTCATTTCTGGCCTCCTCTTCTGATGGCATCATAATATTGCAACCATTCTCAGAAGTATTGGCATCATCACTCAGGAGCTCTTAAATATGAAGAATACCTTTGTTTCACGGCCCATCATATATTCGAAAACCACCTTCCTCAAGTATTCAAACTCAGTTGGTTCACCAAAAAGAGAAACATCTGAATGGCAAAGATTCCCATCTGCATAGAAAAAAAGTGGGAGTTTATACCGATCTCTGTTACTGCAAGCTTATTGAAAAATTATAGAAATTACTTTAGTAATTTTTTTTACAAAATATTTTGAATTTGTACTTTTGAATCCAGGAAGACTCTAATTTACTACCTTTATCCATCATAAGCATCCACAGAATATTTCAATCTTGGCATAAAGCACTTTTTTTACTTTATTAACAGGTAGATTCTAAACATTTATACCTATACACTCTTTGCACTTAGCACACATTTCAAGTAATTATAGAAGAGCTTACTTCAAATATTTGAGGAATGTTAAAATAAAACATCTTCCTTAGATATAAGGTCTATATCAGGCCTAAAAGTTTGGGGGACAGCAAACAAAACAGGTTCTTCTTCATAAATTAACTTCTAACTTCTGCTGTATAAAATTAGGGGAGCAGGCAGACTCCCCATACAAGCTTTCTACGTCTATTCTTTGCCATGCTACCACAAAAACAAATTTATTATTCATGCTTTTTAACAGAGATTGCTTGAAAACAGCCACATTTCAATTTTATCTAATCTCGTAACTGCAAGAATTATATTATGAAATGTTGTCTAGTAGTTAAATATATTATTTCTGATACTGCTCTAATGCTTTTATATAACTAGGCTCTCACTTTATCAGGCATGTTCATATTACATTAATTACATTAATTTTAAATTAATATGTTAATTTTTCAAGAAAGATAAAATTGAAGTCATAATTTAATATTAAAGCACAAGTACACATTTAATAACATGAGATCTGTAATATTAAAATTTGTATTAATTTCCTTTATTTGAGTGCATGAAATTTAAATGGCAGAAAACATTCCCTTATATAACCCAGTGTTAGTAAGGAGCAAGATGTCCAGCCTTTGACCACTCCTTTGTGGGTGCCAAAGGGCACAATACTTTCTCTGCTCCTTTTTAACATATACATGAAATTGCTGGGTGAGATTATCTGATACCCTGAGATAAGATATGATCTGTATTCTGATGACATACAGCTTTACATCTCCATCTCTGGTGATCCAAGCGATGCTGTGACTGCCCTTTCTTAGTGCCTGGAGGCTGTAAGGGTCTGGGTGGGGGATAACAAGCTTCAGTTGAACCCTGACAAGATGGAATGGCTGTGGGTGCAAAGGATCTCTGGATCTGGTGGTTTATCATCATTATTTCAGAATGAGGTTGCATTACCCCAGATAGATCTTGGGGCCTTCTTGAAGACCAGATGGTAGTCATGGCTAGGAGGACCTTTGCAGAACTTCACATTATGTACCAATGCTCTTACCTTGGATCCTGAGGCCCTGTACATGGTCACTCATGCCCCAGTTATCTCTTGGCGGGATTACTGCAACATGCTCTACATAAGGCAACCTTGGAAGAATATATGGAAGCTGCAGCTGGTGCAGAATGCACCATTACTGCACGAGCTGCACTACTTACCAGTTTGCTTCCGGATCCAATTCAAAATGTTAAGACATTACCTTTAAAGCCATACATGGCATAGGTCCAGGGACAAGTCTGCCTCACTCATGTAGCAGAAGAGGCTTACTACAGATCTCATCTGCTAAGGAATTGAAGCAGATGGATCAAAGAAAAGACCCTTTTCTGCTGTAGTCCTATTCCTACAGAATATTCTTCCACAGGAGGTAATAACTGCCCCCTCCATTTGGCCTTCTCGAAGGGTATAAAAACGTGGCTTTGCTGGTTGGCCTGGACCCAGATGAGGGCACTTCCCATTGGACGCCCCATCCGTCTTTTGGTTCTTGAAGGTGTGGGTTTAGTGTAGTTTTTAATAGTATGTTTACATAAATGTGTTAGTAACAATCCCAGTATTTTCTCAAACAAGGAATGTACATACATTAACTACATACAAAATATTAATGCAAGTAGGTTTCTGCTCTTAAAGAGATCAGATTTCTATGTATATTTACAGACCTCACAAATCTATGACAACATAACTATTTGCAATATTTCTACAATTTTTTTAAACTACTAAATGTAAGTTACTAAGTTTCTTTAGTATCTTTTGGTATATACATATTTTGGGGATTCTATAAAAAAAACCTACTGTAAAATTACTGGCAAAAAGGCAAAATAAATGTGTATTCTTATTACAAATGCTTAAATGGCTTTCTGCTATTGAAACAGAAAATCTATATATAAATTACCTGTTTCATAAACAATCTACTATTTTAACAATTAATATTCCAATCATTTATTCTCAGTTTAATTTCCATATAATCGTGCACAGAATTTCAATCTGAATTACGCTTCCAAATATTTCCTTAAATTTTATATTCTATTTTTCAGTGTCAAGACAATTACTCACCTCTATAAGGTGTTTTAACTGTTGTGACATATACAGCCTTCTCATAATTTTTCAACTTATCTTGTAGTATGTGAATCTAAAAATAGAGTGAGTCAGGAAGTACAATAATCATTAACCAAGATTAATGATCTTGGTTTAGAATAAGAATGATAAGTTATGGAATGCTGGAAACCTTAAAAACAACCACAGCAGTATTCCTAATGTTAAAATAGTGGATATTAAAAATATACATTATCCATGCCTTTCAAATCTGCTATAATGCCAATTGCATTACTTGTGCTAATTTATACTAGCAAAGGTGGAAGCATTACTTCATCAAAGTTGGTTGCACATATTTAATTAAAAGCAGTGAACTGTAATTTTGAAAAAGAAAAAAAAAAGAATAGTATCCTTTCTTCACAAGTAGAATTTATATTCCAAACATGAAAATTTGTGATCTGAACTTGATTTTAATGGAGTTAGTAACTAGAATTTGAAAGCTGCAGAGGAAAGCAACAGAAAGGGGAGGGGGTAAGAAAATCATCAGCATTATGTAGCATTTGATCAAACTTTCAAATTATCGTTACAAACGTGTATGAATTTTAGAGCTAAAACTAAATTTATCCCTTTTCTCCCAAAAGTAGTTTCTTACCTGTTCTCTGAACTCCTGTTCTTTCAATTTTGAATCATTAACAAGTGTTGTCTTTTGGGCTAGCTGAGCCTGAAATACAATACAGACACACTCTTTAGGAAAACATGCACATGAAAATTTTAACAGCAAAATTTAATCTTCTTGTTATTTATTACTATTGTAAGCATTAGAGGAAAATGCTTAACTGACTTGCTACATTAAAAAGGAATAATAATAATAATAATAATAATAATAATAATAATAATAATAATAATAATAATAATAATAATAATAATAATAAGTTGGAAGGGACCTTGGAGGTCATCTGGTCCAACCCCCTGCTCAGGCAGGAAACCCTATACCATTTCAGACAAATGGCCATCCAGTCTCTTCTTACCTGAAGTTCTGCTATTTTTTCCTAGGGAGGACCAAAAGACAAAATTTATTAAACATTTTTTTCTGTTTAATACAACAAACAATATTGCACAAATATCTTGCACCCACATTTATGCCATTTCTTTCATAAAGTGGTTAGTATTTGATATCTTATGTCAAGAACATATAGAAAAGCAATACTAATAATGTATGGTCCCATGCTTTTAGCAGTTTTACTTCTGAAAAATCATTTATGTAAAATTATGAACCCAGCATATAGCGGAGACCAACACTTTGATGCTTTTTCATTGTATAAACTGCAGTTCCACTGCATACCCAATTCCAAATTTTATAATATAAATTAACTATAATTTCATCTGCAATTTCTTGCTAAAGAATATTTCATCTGCAATTTCTTGCTAAAATCTAAAAAATATTTGTGGCACATCTGAAAATTAACTTTCTCTCATATCTATAAAATATATAAAAACCTGTTAAAAACTTGCAAGATTTTCTTGTAATGATATAAGTGGTCAGGATACAAAATCTGACTTCCGTATTGTCTCAGAAAAAACACAATGCTATAATAATGAAGGAGTAGTAGATACTGTTTTTTTATACTTCTTCTTAGCATAAATTTATTTTGTAATAGATGAAGCTGTAGTTTAATGGATGAAGCTGTTTATTATTATTTGGAAGTACAAGAATGAGGGAGTGTTAATATCCATAGTTAAAGTTAGTACCCATAAAATCAATTGGATTTAAGATTTGAGTAACTGTTCCTATTAATATAAAGGGAAACTAAATTAAATAACTTAATCTTCTTCAAACTCTAGCATACAACACTAATCTTCTTCAAACTTCCTGCATATAACACTAGGCAACTAAAGATAATTCTGTTTCTGAGATATTGAAACAATAAAGAAAAACTATTTTGCTAAAAATTGACAATTAAATTAATTTAACAAAATTAGTTAACAATAATGATTGAACAGAAAAAAGAACCCTGTAACTTGCACTGATTCAAAATAGAAGTGAAGCTCCTGACCTGTTTTACTATCACTATGCCAAGGATGACAAATAATAGATATGACTAGAGTTAAATGAGGCAGTGTCAATACTGTTTGATTTCAATACATGTAATATAACTGCTATGTCAGCATTGGCTGCCAGTGTACTTCTAGATGCAATTCAAGGTGCTGGTTATCACCTTTAAAGTCCTTCATAGACTGGGGCTAGAATGCCCAAGGGAGCATCTCTTTCCAGTTGTTTCCACCTATCCAACTCAATCTGCCAGGTTGGGTGTGTTACAGGTCTCTCAGCCAAAAAATATTGGCTGGCAGTGACTAGGAGATGTGCCTTCTCTGTAGCATCTGCCTTCTGGAACATTCGTCGTCAGACGTCAGGATGACCTGGCCTTTCATAAGGCCATGAATTTGGTTGCGTGCCCAGACATGGACACCTGAGTGTGCTAAGGGCCCCATTTCTTGGTTATATTAATATCCATGGTAATAGTTCTACTCAGCAACTATATATATTTATTTTGTATTCTTTTAATTCTTTTCAATTTGTTTTTGCATTTTTATGACACCCAGAGTCACTTGCTGAGATGGCAAATATAGCAATCAAACCAACCAACCAATCAACCAACAAAAAAATTATAATGAGCAAACTGTGATGAACGAGACTGCAATAAAACCAAATATAAAAATATAAAGCAAAATTAGGAACCCCAATATGTTTACCAACTTACTTCATCACCATTCCAACTTTCTTCATATGCCAATCTTTTTTTGTGGTCTTCTTTTAACTGCACCAGCTGTTCCTCCAATTTATTTACTTTTTTGGTCATTTCCTCTTCTCTGGCCTTCAGAATAAATATTAATGAATCCATCATGTATATCTTGTTACAATACAGTATAGTGAAATTTGGCTTCCAATCAGCTTCAATATTAAATGTTCTATTGATTTGTTATTGTTTTAACAGAAGTTTATTGTATTTTTAATATCTTATCATTTAAATACTATTTCAAATTTTAGAAAATCTTTGATGAACACATTTAAAAAGCCATTTAAAAAATCTATATTCTACACCAAGAATTCATATTCTACACCAGGACTAACTTTCATTTATCATTTATTAAAATGAATACTAGGCATACTATGATTTGAATTACTATGTCATTAGCTTAAATCAATAAAATATGTTATTTATTTATCTTATTTATGCATCCGCAATTTAGCAATATTGTTGAATATCACTAAAGCTAAATTTAGAGCAAATGAAAGAATGCACACTGCAGTGGCTTTTCGGATATAACATTTTTCATTCTAGTGAAATGCCATTATGTCAAGAATTTCATAGTGTAGAAAGTTATGAAAGAGCTATAAAAGAAAGGTAGAAGTACAAACATATTACACACATGCACATACAAACGTATACAAACATACACAGAGGGATAAAAAAATTCATTTGTCATTCCTATGAAGTTTAATTCGAAAACTTCCATTTCACATTAATCAAAAGCATGATTCTTGGAAGGTACTGTAATATAGTGTAGTGCAGTGCAGTACAGTATAAAGTAAAACAAAAATGCTCTCTCTCAACCCAACTCACCTCCCAGGGTATTTGTTGTGTGCAAAATAGGAGGAGGAAAATATGTTGAATATGTTTGCTGTCTCGAATTATTTATAAAAATAATAAAGGCAGGATTAAAAAAACTAATCAAAGTTTAAATAATGTCATAAAAACAAGAGATACTTTAAAGCAGGCATGTCAAACTCGCGACGTCATGTGACGTCGCGCGACGTATCAGAGCTTTTTCTCCATTGCCGGCAATGAGGTGGGCGCGGTTTTGGGATGACGCATCCGGCCCATGGGCCAGCAGTTTGACACCCCTGCTTTAAAGGTATTTTGGCTTCAAAACACACATAATAATGTGTTAAAACAAAAATGTTTTGTCAAACATACAATTGTCAAAATGAAGGAAGAATAGTACTTGGTTATGGTATTATCTAATTTATATTCAATAAACTGATTTAATGTAATGTGAAACAAAAAATGGACCAGTAAGGCTAAAAGCTAAAACATTTGCAAAACTATATAGAACATATCATATTCTCTCAACTTTACATTATTAAATCCAATGTAGCAGTGATTCCAATAATTCGTGTAGTCATAGGTACTGAATTTTGGCAATCACATTGCAAATATTCAATTAAGCTACAAATATATACTGCATTCTTATAGTTATGCACACGAGCAACAGTACAGAAATATATTTTCTTAATCTGTTTAAGAGAGCATTATTTAAGTTCTTGTTCCTTTTCTGGAAGATATGGCCTTAACTTCTCTAAGGAGGTAGGAATTTATCTTTCAGTCTTTATTGGATATAATCTGTTATTTCTGTTGATATAATTGATGCAGTACTAAGTGAATTCACAGCTATACCTCAAAGCTATATCCAAAAGAAAGCATTTTGCTTTTTTGCAAACCAAGTGCTGTCTGCTTTCAACAGTATATCTCACATGATACCATAGTTGGATTTTAAAGTTTGCTGAACCAAACTTCCACTATAGGCCTATTGTTTCTGAGCAAGACTGCTATTTGTGAGCCACACTGTCTTCCTAATTCCACTCAAAACTTTTAAAGCCTTAAAGCATTTGGTTACCAAGTCATTTCCTCCCCTCTAAATCTGCAGATATCAAAATCATCTTTCTCTTCAAAGAAATAGTATACTATTAATATCTAATCAGGGGCATGAGTTTACTTTCATTGGTCATTATTGACCAATATCTTTACTTAGTATTGCATTTAAAAATTGCTTTCTACAATTTTGTCACAAAGGTTGAAAGTAATATTCAGGATTTTACTCATGAAGATCTATGTGGGGTTTGAATATTCTGGAATGTTTGGAGCCAAAGAATGAAAACTAAACTGTATTGGTATTCTTAAATGCAGAGAAATCCTTCGACAATTTGAACTGGATTATTTTTTTTAAGAATTCTGGAACATATGAAACTTTGAGTTAAATTTATTAAATGTGTAAAATCTATTTTTACTCTGAGAGAGAACAAATTGTTAATGAAGAACTAATTACAACCTTGTGAGATTCAAAAAGAGACAAGGCAAGGATTGTCTCCAATATTGTCTCCATATTTATTTATTTTGGTTATTGAGATATTGAAATAAAGATATAAATCAAGATCAGAAAATCAAAGAAGGGAAGATTGAACAAGAATCTTAAAAAGCAATTACAGATGACGTGTTAATTTTAGAAAACCCACTAGAGGGAGCAGGAGCATTAATGGGAAATTTATATACCGTACATTATCAGATTTCAAAATAAATAAACAAAAGACAAAGATGTTACAAAAATATGCAAACAAAACATCAAAGAGAATTGATGGAAAAAGTGGTTTTAAGACTGATAAAAAATTAAAATAATTGGGTATTATTATCGCAAATATGAACTGTATTTTATTTGAAAATGATTATGTTAAAACATGGGCCAAACTTAAGAAAGACATGTTAAGATTGGTGAATTTAAAACTATAATTGTTGGGAAAAATTTCTATGATGAAAATGAATGTTTTGCCAAGAATGATGTTTTTATTTCAGACATCATACCTATCTTGACAATGGATATACTTTTTAAACAATGGCAAAAAGATATATCTAAAATCATATAGCAGAAGGAAAAAAACAAGAATTGGTTTTACTCGATTTAAAATTGCATTTTGCTGCTTGTTCTTTGGTCAGGTTGGAAGAATGGATGTTACTGAGAAATAAGAAAACTTCCACAGGTTTGAGGTTTGGATTGCATGGGCATTTATCGTATGATAAAGTTAAAGTCAATGTGGACTTTAAAAATCATTTTATTAGATGTGTCACACTGAGAATATGGAATAGATATCTAGAGTGTTTCCCATAAATACCTTTATGGATCTCAGCTCAAGAAGCATATTATAGAAAAGAAATGGCAAATAAAGATAAATGGTTGACGTACAGGGATCTGTTGGAAAATTATCGAGGGGAATTTAAAATAAAAAAAGAAAATTAATAGCAGAAAAATATAATAATCAATGATTTCCATATTTACATTATGTAAAATGAATAAAAAGACTCATGGAGCAAAGTTAGAACTTTAAGTACAACTGTGTATTGATGATGAACATGCAATTGATAAAATGTACAAAATGTTGAAATCTGAGACAGAAGAACAGATTAAAGAAAGTATGATAAAATGGGCTAAGAATTTGATGATAATATACAGATGGATCAGTAGGAAAATATATTGTTAAAGAGGTTGAAATTTATAAAGTGTTATGATCTCAGAATTTTATAAAATGAAATTGTCTACAATGTTTTAAGGCACCTGAAATATAAGTTGGACATGCGAACAGCATGAAGGGACATTTTATCATATTTGGTGAACATGTATAAAAGCTAAAGTATAGATACTTTGATACAGAGGATCTTAAAGATCAATACTCAGAACTGTTCATTTCAGGATTAATGAATAAACAGTTTGAAAGCATTCCTGGAAGATTATTTCAACTTATGATCACATGAGTTTATTGCATGTATAGAGATGAAAAATTTAACCATAGAGAATTGATTGATGAAATTAATAGATTTTGCTGAAATGGACAAATTAATTTCTTTCATTAGAAGACATTATCTACATTTATTCCTGACTGGAATCCTACCTGGATTCGTTATATAATTTTTTTTAAAAAAATCAACTGGTGACTTTCAGTTTTGATGATCAGATGGAATAATTATAAAAATAAGAGTAATATGATATAACAAGAAAGAGATCGAGATCAAAATATATTTGTACCGCTGTGAAGAATATTGGAAACCACTTCATATTTTCCCCTTTTTCTGTTTTTCCTTGGGGTTTTTTTCCTGTTTAGGACCTTTTGCTTTTCCTTTGGTTTTATTCTTTTTTATCTTCCTCACTTTGTGTTAGTTTGTATTACCTTTATCTTCTAGTTTAAAAGTTTTAATAAAAATATACAAAAAGATCATCTTCTGAGGACTTTGACCTGGTGCCCTTGCCAAATGGAATGAGATAAGATCAATGCTAAGAGGAGGGTTTTGGTAGGTTACTCTAATTCTGGAATGGTGTTTGGAAAGAATAAGCTTTCTAAATATGTTTTTTGCATATAACACAAAGAGAAGAAGAATTAAGCAACAGAAAAAGAAAGCAATGCAATAGCATTGATATCTGTTCATAAAATGCACTTTGCATTTTATTCATATTGGCTCACTATGATGATTTCATTTCTATGCAGGAACTGAATTACCATACTAAATATAGTTTATGTACAAATATCACAGTTGTATGTACCAGTCTATAGTTGTGTACAACTCTCAAATGTGTAACAACTTTTCATTATATTTAGATTTTAAGAACACAAACATTATTCAATACAAATATATACCTCAAGTATATCTTCATACTTTTTCACTGTTCTTTGTAGATCATCATCCTTTTCCGAAATCTTTTTATGCAGTTGAACTGTCTCTGTATGGTGACTTTCTATCAATTCAGATTCCACTTCCTGGGCTTTACCTATTTAAAAATATGTAACAATATTACTATGACTAGGTTAATACAACTAGCTTTCTATTTTAAACCTTTATCTATCAGCAATGGCTAAAAAGTAAATAGCAACTACTCAATCTGAAGAAATTTAAAAAAGAAAATTTAAAAGAAAACAAGTCAAATAGGTATTCTTTGCAAACAAGTCTGTGATTAAGCTGTTTGCAAGGTATTAAAATAGCTTCAAGCTTTATTTTATTTTATAGCTATTTAACAACTATTAGCAAAGAGTTAAAGGCTGCTTTCTTCAATGCTTCCCATTCAAAGGGCTTTAACAAACAACCTTACATTTTTCCAAATGACTACATGATAGGACTTCCTGAACAAGACAATACTTTGCATTATTTACTTTTTGCTTATAAAGGACCACTTCTGCTCCAGGAAATGAGCTATAGACTATTTCCAAAGGATGATAGCAACTAGGAAAGGCATGTGGATTTATTAGAGAAAGACTGTTTTATTAGAAAAGATAGACATATAATAAATATCATGCACAACAAACAATGTTGGGATTTCATATTTTAAGTGTTATGTTACATTATATTATTTAATTGATCAGTATCTATGCTGCCCATCACACCTGTGTGACTCTGGATGTTTAAAAAAAATAATATAAAAGCTATAATCAAAAATAGAGAATTAAAAAATATAAAAGCCAAAACACAGATGGAACACACTAACCATTCCCAGGATTACATGATACATTTAGACTCCAATGCCAGTTGACAGAGTTAAGTCTTGATGCTCTTTCAAAATGTTAGGAAAGTGAGGGCGACCCTCATCTCCAGGGACAAAATGTTCATAGGATGAGAGCAATGGCAGAAAAGATTTTCTTCCTAGACAACAGCAGTCAAAGTTCTTTAATGATGGGGTCTGCAATATCTGCAACTGGCAGATGACCTGAATTACTGTAGGTTTGAGAGGAAACCACTGTCAACTATCACCAACATCTCAGCCAAGCCTCCCACAACTGACCCCTCCCTTCTGGTGATCACAGAAAAAGATGTACAAGATCTATTTCATAGATAAAAGCCTGGAAAAGTACCAGGCCCAAACAAAATAACTCCTTCTTGCTTGAAAGCTTGTGCTGATTAATTGGCCCCCATCTTCACCTGCATCTTTAATTAATTACTAGAGATATGTTATGTTCCTTCTTGCTTCAAACGCTCTACTATCATCACGTTGCTGAAGAAACCCTCCATCAAGGAGCTGAACGACTATAGACCAATTCCTTTGACAGCCATAGTTATGAAAACCTTTAAAAGGTTACTGCTGGCCCACCTGAAAACCAGCCCAGATCCGCTGTTAAACCCCTTGCAATTAGCCTACTGAGCAAATAGATCGGCAGATGATGCTATTAATATGGCTCTGCACTACATCCTACAACATCTTAAAACTCCAAGGACTATGCAAGGGTCCTTTTTGTAGACTTCAGCTCAGCATTCAATACATCATTCCAGATTTTCTTCTAACTAAACTGATTCAGCTAGCCTGACCACACTTGTAAATAGATCATAAGCTTTCTAACAGACAGGAAGCAGCAGGTGAAGCTAGGCAAAATTACATCAGATACCTGTACAATTAGCACAAGGGCTCCTCAGGGCTGCAAGCTCTCTCCACTTCTCTTCTCTCTATATATCAATGATTGCATCTCAAAGGATCCCTCTGTTAAAGTACTGAAGTTTACTGATGATACAACAGTGATTGGTCTCATTCGAGACAATGATGAATCTGCATACAAACAGGAAGTTGAACACCTAGCCTTGTAGTGCGGCCGGAACAATCTTGAATTGAACACACTCAAAACTGTGGAAATGATAGTATATTTTAAGAGAAGCCCTCATTTTCTACTACCTCTTACAATACTAGACAACAGTAGAGACCTTCTAGTTTCTAGATTCTATAATATCTCAAGACTTAAAATGGACACACCTAACATCAAAAATGTCATCAAAAAAGCACAACAAAAAATATTCTTCCTGTGCCAGCTCAGAAAGTTCAGACTGCGCAAGGACCTGCTGATACAGTTCTACAAAGGAATTATTGGGTCTGTCATTTACACCTCCTTAACTGTCTGCTTTGGCACTGCAATCAAGCAAGACAGACACAGATTCAATGGATAGTTAGAATTGCAGAAAAAACAATAGCTACTAGCCTGCCTTCCACTGAGGTTCTGTATACTGCACAAGCCAGAAAGAGGGCTGTGAAAATATCTACAGACCCCCTCACATTCTGGGCACAAACATAAACCTGGGTATAAACAACTTCTTTCCTCAAGACAACACTATAAGGCATTGCACGCCAAAACAACTAGATATAAGGAGAGTTTTTTACCACATGCCATCACTTGCTAAACAACTAATTCCCACAACACTGTCAAACTACCTAATAGAGCTATATTACTATTATCCTTCTCATCTTTTCTATTACCTATTCCTTATCTTCTTATGACTATAACTTTGTTGCTTGTATTTTATAATTTATATTGTTTTACTTAGTACCCTAGTATGATTTATGTTGCTTATTTAGTATCCCATGACTATCACTGAGTGTTGTATCTTATGATTTATGATTAATGTATTTGATGATTATAATCATGATTTAAATTTAATTGAAAAACTTGTTGGTTGTATGTACACTGAGAGCTTATGCACCGGAGACCAATTCCTTATGTGTCCAATCACACTTGGCCAATAAAGTATTCTATTCTGTTCTGTTCTGTTCTGTTCTGTTCTGTTCTGTTCTGTTCCGCTCCACTCCATGTTATCCTTGCATGATTGGGTGGGATGAATCAATGATATAAGGATGAGAATTCCTCAGACAACCAGATCCTATGCCATGAAAGACTTTGAAGGTGATAACAAACACTTTGGATTGGTCCTAGAAGCAAACTGGTACCAAATGCAGCTCATATAGCAGGTGTTACATGTGCAACCCTCATCTGCACCACCACATTGTGCACTTGCTGCCTTTTTTGGACACTTTTCAAGGGTAGCCCCAAGTAATGTATATTGCAGTAGGCCATGTGGGAGATGGCCAGGGAATGAATGACTGAAAGAAGGGTTAGTTTTTACTTTGGAGTGGTTTCATTAATATCTTTTTATGCTTGAACCTCTATAATTGTTCTTTTACTTTATTGCTCTTCCTACCTTAGCAAGACTGCTGATTTTTACTTCTTGACTGTGTTATTATTTTACTCCTAGGTTTTATTATTTAATATCCCTTCCTCTCCAGAGTCACTGGCTTTTTTGGTGCCTTTTTCTTAAGTTCTGACTGAGTTCACAGTCATTAACTCCTGTCTTCTTTGTTTGGAGTTTCTCCAGGACAGGTATTGAAAGTCTTCTCATTTTGAAGCAATGCCATTTGAACTAGGCATTTTTCAGCTACTCCTCCATTCCTTCTTCATTCTCTAGTTTCCTGATAGCTGCAACCATTTTGAACTCTGATTCAAAGGGAAGTAAGGTGCTGATGATGATACTGTTCAAGTCTTGCCCTCACATAGTCTTACTCAATCTGCTTGTTTGTCATGGAACTTTTCTGCATTATTGACTTACACACACACACACACACACACACACACACACACTTTTCTTTCCTGCTTCTCCCAGTTTCCTACCAACTTTCTTTCTCCGCACTAGAGACATCTCATCTTCTCTCTTATGGATTTATCTGGTCTTTTAGGTGCTTACATTCTTTGAATTCTACTTTTTTCCTTTTCTTCCTCAGTTGCCAAGTGAGGAATAAACTGGTGATGGGTGATACCATTTGCAGTCCATCATGTCATTTGCAGAGCATCATGTCAAAAATGCTACCCAAAATTCTCTGAAAAAAATGTATTTGACATTTGTGGCATTTCAGATGTGCAAAGTATATCACTGTAACTTACTGATAGTTTCTTTTACAGCCATTTCTAATTCCTGGTCCTTTTGTGCCAGTTGGGTATTGAATTCCCTCATTAGCTGCTTTAATGTGGAATTGTGCTTTAGTTCAATGTCTTCCTGTTCATATCTATTAAGATATAAGAAATTAAGAAATTAAAATTTTTTAGCTCAAACATCCTGGTAAAAAACAAACAGGATTATATTGGGTAACAAAGTGGTTAAAATAATTAATTTTATTATTTTTCCATACAGTACTTATAAAAATGACATCTGATCTTTAGATTTTTACCATAATGAAAATTTAGGAAAATACTTGAATAATGAATGTAAAAACATATTATATTCATATGTACATAGTTCAAAAAAGGTGACAATCTAGGAAAAATATAATTAGATTATAACTTGTAGGTAAAAATATTTAGGTGTGAACTATAAATTGATATCCAACAATCTTAAATATAGCATCTTAAACATACATCTTAAATAATTAATTACTTAAAACAGACTATACATGCACTCATTACATTCCTACTATCATATCTTAGCTCATAAGCTGAAGGTTGAATTAGTCTTTTACTTCCTTATGTGCTTCTTTATATAGTATGAATTAGAAATATATTTTTAAATAACCATAATTTCTGGTTTTTATCTGAACGTGAAGTTCAAAATTTTGACCTGATCTAAAGCAAATAGACAGTTCTGATTTGCATGAAATGGGAATATATATATCCATTTTTGGAAAATAATGTTGATCATAAACTTTATTTTATTCACTATTACTCTACATACATTTTATTAAAGAGTTAACAGTTACTTAATGATAACTTACTTTATTTTTTGTTCCATTTCTTCTCTAGATTCTTTCTTCATAATTTCCAGCTCTTGCTGATGTTCTTTTCGCAAGGTTCGCAAATCCTTCTGAAGCTTAATCAGATCTCTGTGCTGTTCCTGTTTCTCTTGCTCCGTCTGTTTCAGTGTAGCTTGTAAGTCTTTCTGTTGCATCTGCATCTCATTAACCATCTTTTGAAGTTCAAAGACTGATTTAGTTTTTTCTTCTATATTTCCTTCCAGAGTTTTTATAAGGCCACTTCCTTCATCTAACTGCTCTTGCAGACTGTTTAATTTCTCATTATATTCTGAAATCCTATTTTCCATCTCAGTCCTTTGTTGTTCTCTCTCTTTCATAAAATCCTCGCCAAAAGACTGTCCTTTTTCCTCCTTTTCTTGAAGCTTTTTTTCTAAGTCTTTAATTGCAATCTCCATATTTTGTTCTTTTTGTTCTTTATTTTTCAATTCGACTTTGATATTTCTTAATTCACTCTCATACTTGGTATGTTGTTCATGTAATGAAGCCTGTTTCTTGATTTGTTCCTCAAGTTCTCGTTGAAGATTTTTAATTCTATTTTTATCTTCTTGAGACCTTTTAAGAAGTTCCTCTTGTTGCTCCTGAGCCTTCATCTTTGAAATATTACATGTATTTGCTTCCTCACTATACTTCTCAAGTAATCTCTCTTTATCCAACAAATCCTTTTTTAAAATATCAATTTTTATATCATACATCTGTTGCATATTCTCTAAAGCAATGACTTTATCTTTCTCTGCAGAAACCTTTATTGTTTCTACTTTCTTTATCAACTCTTTTTCTAAATCTGAGTCTATTGACTTATTTTGCTGCTCTTTCTCTTCCATCTGAGTCGTCAACTGTCTTTTAATAGAAGCAATTTTGTGTTCAGCCTTTTTTTTCAGATCTGCTATTTTAGAAGTTGCTTCTGAAATAAGTCTTTCTTCTAAAGCCTTTAATTCTTCTTCTTTTGTTTTCAATAGAGCCAGTTTTATTCCTTCAAATTCTTTTGATTTTTCTTCAAGGACAATTTCCATGTCCTGCATTTTCTTCTCAAAAGTTAGGACATTTTGTTCCATCTCCTTCAGGTTGTCATCCTTGTCCACTAGTGCCTCCCGAGCCCGTTGAAGTTGTTGTGCCATTTCTTTTTGCCCATTGTCTTGTTCATGGTATATTTTACATTCTTCCATTAAATAATTATTTTCCTCTGTTTTCCGAGCAATATGCTCTTCTAATTCAGCAATTCTCGCTGTATGGATTTTTATCTCAGCAACCAAATCAGATTCCTGTTTTTCTTTTCTGATCTGCTTTTGTTCCATTACACATTTTAAATGTTCTAACTGTTTGGTTTGTTTATCGCGCTCGTTCTTTATTCTATTCAGTTCTTCTTCTTTTTCACTAGCTTGGTTATTACTCAGTTCAATCTTACTTTGTAATTCCTTAATAGTATTGTAATTTTGTGTAAATCTCAACTGAGCTTTCTTCTTCCATTCTGACATTTTGTTCACCCAGTGGTCTACCTGTTTCAGGGCAGTAACTTTATCTTCACTCAATGATTCAACTTTGGAAGCTAGTACTTCCATCTCATTCAGTAACTGCAGTTGGTTTTCTCTGTGTTGCTTGTTTAACATCATTGTGGCAGCTTCTTTTTCTGATATGCTCTTTTCAAGTCTGAGGTTTAATTCACTAGTAAGCTTGTTAAGATCTGTGATTTCTGCTTTTTTCTCATTTAGCTCCTCCCTCATTGAAGTAACAATATTATTATACTCAGATAATTCTTTCTTCAGCTCTGTGATACAAGATTCCTTCTCTGTTGCCGTTTGCTGCTGGAGATAACTTTCTTTTTCCAATAGTTCTTTTTCTGTTAGAAGTTTATCTACATCTGCTTTCATAGACATCATTAAATGTTCCTTTTCCTCCAAGTGTTTTTTTGACTCCTGTAAACTACTGTTTAAAGTTACATGACTCCCTGTTAATTGTTCAAGTTGAACTTTTAAGTCTGGAACTTGATCGGCTTTAATTAATATGTCTTCTTTAATTTTTATTGTCTGTTGCTGACAGTGAGCAATTTTAACTGTTATTGAAGAAATTTTTTCATTGCATTGTTTAATCAGTTCACCAATTTTTATTTTCAATAAAGCTTCTGCTTTTTGCTGGTAATCAGCCAGTTGTATAATTGTATCTCTCTTGAAATTTTCAAATTCAGCTTGTTTTTGTCGAAACTCATTTTTTTCGCTTTCTAACTTTGTCTCATAATTCTCCTGTTCTTTAAGATGTGACAGTTTTAAGGCTTGGTATTCAGCATCAGACATTTTCAATTTATCTGCCAGCTCCACAATGTCATATTTCTTTTTTTCTTCTATTAACTTTATCTCATTAAGCTGTTCCTGTACTGTTATTTTCTCTTTCAAAGAAAAACTAAGATCGGTCTCTAATTTTACAAGTTGTTTCTTTAAATCACTTTCTTTTTGTGTCAAAAGATTCACTTGTGCTAATGTCTGTTGCAGTTGTTCTTGAAGTTCATGTATAGTTTTGTCTTTCTTTGTATGTTCATCCTTTAACCAGGTAATCTCTGCATTATTCCCTTCTCTTTCAGCATCAAAGGTGGCCAGTCTTTCTTTCAGGTCTCTTATTTCCTGTTCTTTTTCTTGCAATTCTGTTTCATGTTTTTCCTCAAGTTCTTCAACCTCTTGTTTTAGTTTCTTCCCCCAAAGATGTACAACTTCATCCACTTCTTGTTTGTGAGTTTCAACCATGCTTTTTAGTTGTTCCTTCTGATTCATCTCCAGTTTTAAAATAGCATCATTTATTCCAAGTGAATTGGCATGAGTCATTTCCAGCATTTTTGAAGTGAACTGCTTCTCTTTCTGATTAAACTCCAACTGGTTGCTCTCAATCTCACTTTTTAGTTTTGCTTCTTGTTCTGAAAGTTTTTGCTTAAATTCTTCCTGCATATTTTTTATTTTTTCTATAGCTTCCTCTGTTTGTGTCTCTTGCTGCTTTAACTTGAGCTCATATTCGTCCCTTAAGGCATTGATTTCTTCTTCTTTGGTTGATAACTGCTGCTTATACTTTTCAATTTGTTGATTCAGGAGATGCTGTATTTGTCCAATTTCACTTTCCTTGCCAGTACAATGACTTTTTAACTGACTGATCTCTCCTCCAAGGTTTCTTAACTGTGATTCATAATTTTCTGTCAGAGATGAGGTTTTCTGTATATTTTTTCTCTTTTCTTCTTCTAATTCACATTTCAGATCATTTACCTGGGATGTCTGAAAATCTAACTCAGTTTTGACTTCCTTCAGCTGGGTTTCAGTTTTTACAATCTGTTCTTCAAGTTTTGACTTTTTATCCATTATAACTTCCAATTTCTCTTGCAAATTTTTAAACTTGTTTTCATAAATACTTGCATTATCTTCCCTGGACTGACATAAAACATCTGATTCTGCAGACATTCTTTTACATTGTGTCTCAGCTTTTCCTAGAGTTTCTTTCATTTCTTTCTGCTCTGATTCTTCTTCACTCTTCTCTTTTGCTTCCAAGAATTGTTTGAGTTGAATAATTTCTTCTTTAAATGATTTCTCAGTTACTTCCTGATCTTTAAAAATAGCTTCAACTTGTTCCTTATGATTATTCCTTTGCTGATCAAGTTTGGCTTCAAACTCCACCTTTGCTTTATTTGCATCCTCTTTTAACTTAGAAATATATTGTTCAAGATTTTGACGGCTATTCAGAGCATCTGATAATTCAGATGAAAGTGCTTCTAGCTCTGTTTGTTTCACATCAAGCTTTTCTAAAGTTTTTTCATTCATTTCTTCTATATGAGCATGAAATATAGCCTCTTTTTCTTTTAACAGCTTAGCCGTTTCTTCTTCATGATGTTTCCTCAGTTTCTCTATTTCTGATTGCTGCTGCTGGGTTAATATGTCAAACTGTTCTTTCCAATGTTGCTGTTCTTGCTGCTTCATGTATTCAATTTCTTTTTTATGTTTTTCAGTCATAGTAGCTATTTTTTTATTGTGCTCATTTTTGTCTGAATCTATCTGAGTAGCCAGTTCTTCCAACTGGCTTTTGTCATTCTGTGGACACTTCATAAGGGAACTTTCCAGCTCAAGAATTCTCTGTTAAGAAGATCAGTGGAAAATATAATGAATAAAATACACTGTTTTTTTTAAAAAAAATGTTTAAAATATTATCTACTTAAATGTTATGCATAACAAGATTCTAACAATTTAAATGAAAAAATTAAATATAAATTATGTTGCTTATTCTGACAAACGGCATTAAATCTAAAATCATTTAGCTTGTTAAAATGATAGCTCTATGTAGGTTTGATCTATATAAAATTAATATTTCTGGACTCAAAACCTAGGAAAATACCTAGAATTATTGCACTTTGTATAAAGTTATTATGAACTAATTATTTTCTGCAGAAGATTACTGTAAAATTCACAAACTCTACCATAGTAATTACTACAAGAAAAACTCAGAAATATGAAGGAAAAAAGCCAAAAGAATTTTCCATATGAGAAACGAAATCATCCACAGAATAAGTTTTAACATTTCTATGTGATTTAATTTCCTTCTTAAGAGACCTGATAATTTATATTTTACTTTCAAGCAAAATGTTCAAAATATTCAAAAACATTTCATGTTTTTTACTTACTGTTTGGAAAGTTTCTACTTCCAGTTGCATATCTTCAACTTTTTTGTTGCATTCTGACTGTAGAGCCTTTTTCTGCAATTCTATTTCTTCTAAAGCTAATAAATCTTGTTGTTCTTTCTCTTTCATTTCACATAGGTGATTCTTCTGGCATTTTTTCTGTATTTAAAATTAATTTTATATATATTATATATATATAGCAAAACGTGACAGCTTATACTGAAAGGTCTCTGGTGTTGCCGGTCACTAGCTTGTACCACAACTGAAATTTAGCCTCTCTTAATATTAAGCACTCAATTAAAGGGGTAAGATTTCAGTGATAAGAGTAAGAGTATATAAGAGTAGATCTTTTATTGACTGGATAGAAATTACTGTACACGTAGTCCTTAGTTAACAACTATTTGTTCAGTAACTGTTCAAAATTACAATGTGCTGAATGAAAGTACTTATGATTAGTACCTAAAGTTACAGCTATTGCAACACCCCGCGGTCATGTGATCTGGGCTCTTGGCAACCCATTTGCACTTATGACAAATTGCCACGCCTCCCCCCCATGATAGCACTAGCAATAGCACTTAGGCTTATATACAACTTCACAGTGCTTTACAGCCCTCTCTAAGCAATTTACAGAATCAGCATATTGCCCCCAGCAATCTGGGTCCTCATTTTACCAACTTCTGAAGGATGGAAGGCTGAATCAACCTTGAGCCAGTAAGGATCAAACCCTTGGCAGTCAGCAGAATTACCCTGCAATACTGCATTCTAACCACTGCGCCACCACATGATGAAGTGATTGCCATTTGAAATTCTCCCTGCTGGCTTCCTCAGAAAATCAACAGAGAAGCAGGCAAGAAGGTTGCAAGCCCTGCCACAGGACTCCCTCTGGTTCCTGAGAGCTGTCTGGAAAAGGTCCACTGGACCTCATTTCGGGACACATCTTTTTCAATCAGTCTCTTTAGACTGAAAAGGCTGCCTGTCAGATTGATTTTGCCTGCACCAAGCATCCTATCCACTCTCAAATATTCTGGCTGAAAAGCCAGGAATGATTTTAGCACACGAGATTTACAGCTGGTTCCAAATGCCCCATGCTTCAAGTGCTCCGTGCTAAAATCCCACCATGGACTTTTTCAGTCAATATCTTTTGAAAGGGGAAGGGCTGTTTGTCAGATTGATTTTGCTCTGCACAAAAAGCCCTGTGGCTCTGGTGCTGGCTGGAAAAAGTCTGGCTCTGACACTTGCTGGAAAAATCCTTTCCACCCTTTAGAAATATTATGTTTGCTGCCTTAAAGCAAACACAATGTTCCCGAAAGATAGATGGCACCATGCAGCAACTCCCACGATGGGAAAACGAAGCTCTAATTTTTGGGACTGCACATTGAGATGGGGGAAGGTTTGTGATAAGCTGAAGAAACAACACTCAGATCTTTGGGATCCTGGCTTTGTTTCTACAGCCCAGCATAGGAATTCTCTTCTACACACTCAGGGGAATTGCCTGCCTTCTTTCAGCAGGCATCTCATTCACTCTGCCTGCTTAGCAACCACGTCTGGGAGGGCAGGATAGTAGCTACTAATAAGACAATCACAACTGGCGAATTGATAAAAAAACTGCTTTTTCCATGGAAGATGGGAATTTTTTGAAACAAGTAAGGGATGATGCTAAAGGACATATTAGAAGGATATATAATGTTCTATTAGAATTGGATTCAGAAACTGAGCTAGTTAAAGATTGTATGATTAAATGGGCTCAAAATATAGGAGAAACAATATCTATGGATACCTGGGAGT